ATATAATTATCTTGTGCAATAACCAGTAATCCTCCTATTCATCATTCTGTTGGGTCTGAATTTCATACTGAAAATTAAGCAAACATGGGTGTGGGGGAGATGTGTGTCATAAAACTAGATGGTTGAGGGTATCCACAAATAAGTATACGTGATCTTATATTTACAACTACATGTATGCATTTGGCCTTTCATTCATTTGAGAATATTCATTGACTCATTTACTTCATGTAACTTTATTTACTGAGATACTTTTGCCATACTTCTGAATGTATGACACTGTAAATTTCAGTCATACTATCAAATTGTTCATACTTATATCTTGCTTTTTTTTTTTAGCTTGAAAGCTTGTAGTCATTATTTGGTTTCCCAGCATTGAAAAGAGCAGCTTGAAGATTGTGCTAAAATCCTCCTTTTGTGTTTTTGACGGTTGAACGACTGTCATACAGGTTTAGAACATCACGACGATGTGTCAGACTCTGTTCCTTGTTTTGAGTGTTTTTTGCTCCCCTTGTGCCTTCCTTGCCCTTATTTGGTCCTTCCTGTTCCTGTCCCTGTTTCCAGGTATTCCTTCTTATTAGTTATCCTCCTCACCTGTCTGCCCCTCGTTATCTACCCTATTTGAGTTCTAGCCCGTTCTGTTCTTCTACGTCCGGAATTGGATGTTATTAAAATCTATATGTTTGAATTCCACTCCTCGTCTCCTCACTCCTTTGTCTCCGTACTCCTCACAGTAGCGCAACGTGACACGATGAGTATATGATGGATCGTTCAAATGAAGTAATTTAGTCAACTCTATCCATTTCCAGAAATCCAACCAAACATGTTTTGCATTCGGTTCTTGATGTTTATCTGGCTGTTTTTTCTTATTGATGCTCATGAGTCATTGATACGTCCCCTAGTGGTGTGGCGGTCTAGGGAAATAGCGGAACGCACATAAAGGCCACTCAGATGAACACCCCTAACTAAATAAATCTTAAAGTAGCTCACTGTAAAAACTCACTGCTTGACATCAGAATTAAGTTATTGCAATATTAGATCAAGCGAGTATATTCTTCAGCTGTTTATGTTTGACCAAACAAGCCCATTTGAGACATCCTATCCGTGACAATCAAGCAAGCTTTCAGCCTAGACATCTCTAAGTATCACTTTACAGTTGTGTATTGAAGAATTCTGTTTGCAGATGTTTTTGTAAAAAGAAAAAATTTAAAGCAGTCATATGTTATATTTTGTTGGACAACATTACAAATGATCCTCAACTGTTAAGATTGTTTTTAAACAATCAGAAGTCTCAATGTACATTAAGGTGTGATTCACTTAGAGTGTGTTTTTGGGCAGTGAAATGGACATACTATATACACAGAAAAAAAATGTGTTCACTAAAAGTTAAACTACTTTTACTTTAGCGTCATGTTTGTAAAATGCTGTGTCATGCACAAGTTGCAAGACACAAGCACAACGGTCAAACACGTCTGTCTAGTGTATATTTAAATAGTGTTTGCTAAAACTCTTCATAATACTACTTTGTGCTGACATCACCACTAACAAATCTACCTCCCTCTGGTCAGCATATTTGCAGTGACAGTTTTTGTTTATTTAGCATTCATCAGTTTTTAATTGGCTTTGCCAAATGTCTAAGAGGTAATAACTTTGACCTACACATTCAGAAAATGCTGCACAGGCCCATTTATGATGAATGTGTTTTATGAATGACTGCACAGCAGGAAGTGTTTATTGCTGGTTCTCTTGTGCAGTACGTTTAGTATTAGTGGTGAATTCCCTTTTCACACTCCCTTTGTGTTTGTTTCATTGTTGTCAGTATAAGGCCATTGATGTGTATATAGATATTTTTCTCTTTTTTCTTTTCAAAGATCACCTCAGGTTCAAAGGTTATGGAGCACTCCTCCACAATCAGTGGTGGAGGGAGAAACCCACAGTGACGTATAAGTACCTAGACACACACTAATGTCATCTGAAAAATCCAAACAGTGATTTGTAATTCAAGTCCTCTGGGCTTTGTAACACCAAATGCGCTGTGAGATAACTCTGAATTAAACTTTAAGGACATGCATTCAGAACTGTTTAAGGTAGATAATGTAGAGTATTGCATTTTTGTTTGTTTTTGTGGCAAGATTAACCCTTGTTTTAGGTTGTATGTCAGTTTGACGTATTTCAATTTTTAGAGTTGTCTGTAATTTTAGGTAAATCATGGTTTTCTCCTTGACATTTTGTGACTTTTCTCATTTAGGGTCATGATAATGCCTGTAAAGTGTCGACACACTGACCTGTTGTGAAATATGCATACAAAATTTATATTATAATTATTATGTTTGCGGTCAATTTGACCCGCATACTTACATGGTTAAAGGCAGCTGCACAGACTTGAAATAAGTTTCTCAACTACCCTCAGAGTCTATTTCTATTTACATTTATGCATGTTGCAGACACTTTTATTGAAAGAAACTTGACTGCATTGAAAGCATACATTTTTTATTAGTTCATGCATGTTCAGTTTGCTGAGAATCGAACCCATGACCTTGGCAGTACAAACAACATGCTCTACTGTTTGAACTTCAGTAAAGCATGCAGAAGAAGTGTTGTTCCACACTTCTTTTTTAAATGTTTAAAAATAGTTACAGTACTGTTTATAAAATTCACAGTTTATGAAAACAAAATATTTATTTTTTGTAATGTGTGAGGACTAATAATATTAAATGTTTATTGATTTTATCTGATTCTTTTCTATTTTTCATAAAGTGATTTTTGATTAATTGTATTGAATCCAATTGCAGTCAGTTTATCCCCAACAATAACGATAAATACCCATTTTTTAAAAGGGTTAGTTCACCCAAAAATGAAAATTCTGTCATTAATTACTCACCCTCATGTCGTTCTAAACCGGTAAGACCTCTGTTCATCTTCGGAACACAAATTAAGATATTTTTGATGAATTCTGAGAGCTCTCTGACCCTCCCATAGACAGCAATGTAATTACCACGATCAAGGTCCAGAAACGTAGCAAGGAGATCGGTAAAATAATCCATGTGACATCAGGGGTTCAACTGTAATTTTACGAAGCTACGAGAATACTTTTTGCATGCAAAGAAAACAAAAATAACGACTTTATTCAACAATGTCTCCTACGCGTCACCCTGGTGCTATTTTGGAGAATATCCACTGAACGCAAACAGCGTGAGCTATTCTGTGTCGCGTGACGCAGCTGACACAGAATGGCTTACGCTGTTTACCAGGGGGTTATTTTTACGTTATTTTTGCGTACAAAAAGTATTCTCGTAATGTCGTAAAATTATAGTTGAACCCCTGAAGTCACATGGATAATTTTACCGATCTCCTTGCTACGTTTCTGGACCTTGATCGTGGTAATTACACTGCTGTCTATGGGAGGGTCAGCGAACTCTCCAAATTCATCAAAAATATATTAATTTCTGTTCCGAAGATGAATGGAGGTCCTCCCAATTTAGAATGACATGAGGGTGAGTAATTAATGACAGAATTTTCATTTATGGGTGAACTAACCCTTTAACCTAATACAGGGGTTCAAGGTGTTCTCTCTTTTCTGTTTAATTCTGTATTATTGTTGGTTACTGTCTCTTTCTCAGCTCAGATGGTGTTCTATCGGAGGCTGTGACAGTGCAGGTCGGCCATGCTGAGACGCTGTTACCCCTCCTCACCCTGCTGGATCTGTTCAAGGATGACATCCCTCTCAGCTCAACTAACTTTGCAACCCAGAAGAACAGAATATTTAGAAGTGGGAACATTGTGCCATACGCTGCCAACCTGCTGGTAGTGCTGTATAAATGCCCAGAGGGGATTAGAATGGGTGCGCGACTCAATGAGAAATCTTTGACCTTGCCTGGACTCGCCGACCCCGTCCCAATGTATGAGGATGTGAAGAAACGCTACCGTGCTCTGCTGGAGGGTTGTGACCAAGAGACTGTGTGTAAAATGAACAATTCCTGAACATAAAAGTACAACACATCACAAAGGCCAGCTGACTTGACATTTTCATAGAAGCAACAACCAGCATAAAAAGTTTAAATAGGTTATACAACATTTTATTGTTGATAGAACAGTAAATGAAAGAAAATATTTGTACATATTAATTATATACAGTATATCCAAATATGACCCCACAGTATTACTTTCTAATGTTATGGACCTGTAAGAGACCTCAAATTCCAGAGCTGACAAATCAGCTCTGACCAACCATCCAATCAAATAACTATATTTGACATTTCACACATACTGTATTTCTAAGCAATGAACTTTTGACTGTACTTTGATTACATGACTAAATCAGGATAAAATACATGAATTGTAAATTGCTGGTTTTGGTAGAGAGTCCTGAGGCCTCTGTCGCTTACTTATACAGTATTTATGTTAATGTTTTAGTCAGTTATATATATATATATATATATATATATATACAGTATATATAAAATATATTCAGACCAAAGATTATTTTATATATCCAATATCTAATATAATTCTATTCAAAGACTGTGTGTGTGTGTATGTATGTAAAAACATTTCAAATTCAGCAAATTTAATTTCCATGCAATCTTGTTCTTACGAAATGAATAATAAAATGTGACTATGCTTTTTTTTGTAGTTATGCTCTAAAATATCTAGACTAGAATTACTCCGTGAATTCTGTTTTTATTTTTTTTACCGTTAATCAGGAAGGGCTGGAAAGGTCATGGAAAGTCCTTGGACAAAAGGTGTGGGAACCTTGAAATTATTTTATATGTTGTATGATTTGTCAGTTTGTTACATAAGTACAATAAACTGTACCTTAGGAGCAAACTTGATTCCAAGTTGAAAGTTTCTTATGATAGATAGATAGATAGATAGATAGATAGATAGATAGATAGATAGATAGATAGATAGATAGGAATTGTCATTTTATTTTTCATAATACAAAAAGGTTTTTTAGGTAGTTGAAGGCAATTTGAAAATAGAAAATCATAGACCGAAATTCCCTTCGAGTCGACTCGTTGAAAAGTCGTTAAATCATTTGTACTCTGCCCAAAAAGTCATTTTAATTTTACACATGAATGCAGAACAAGGGGTTCTTTTTCTCTTCACATCCTTCTCCCCGCCCCCTTCTATCCCGTAGCTCATGATCCCTCCTGCTCCTCAGTGCAGTCTCACACCGGTACACTGCTCTCCATTCAGCCGTATGCAGATTGCGGGAGCCGGGAGGTTGGACGAGGGCAGGGCCGTTAGAATGTGACGTGTCTCGCGACACTCTTAAAAACACTTCTCTTTCCGCGTCTCCACAAACTACCTGCAAGAAGTTCACCTGCGAGTTGATTCTGGCCCGCCTCCGAGCGAAGGTCCAATCCCGAGCGCACTTCACTACCGGAGCGAGATGCCTGGGAATGCAACACCCAAACCGGTGAGATTAGACCGAAAGCCCGTAGCAAAACTTCTCTGTAGTGGATTGCTTATTTTGTCAGGGCTGTATTTTCTTCTTTGGCGGTCCTCAGGCATTCGGTGTGTTTTGCAGGGGACGTCTGAGATGCACGGACATGGAAATGTCAGCTAACTTTTTTCATGTTAAATAACTGCCTGCGATCATTTGGGAAGATATTGGGCAAGCGCTCTGCTGCATAGGCTACTGGCGTTAAAAAACATCATTCAATGTATAGGTTATAACACTGAAATAAGAGAACTAATTAAAAAGATAATTAATAAAATAATCATGAATACTAAACAGAAATGTGACTCGTTTTCACACGTTTTGACTACTTCTACTACTCTGTTGAACTTTATTGACATTATAGTTCACTGAATACACGTTGTCCTTGGTGCTCAGTTGTCACAATGGAAACCTGCCATTAAACATGCCTTGTAAATAAATGTAAAGAATTGTAAACATTTTTCATCAATTGTTATTTGCATTCCTTTATAACCGTTTTAATTATGAAGTAATGCAAAGAACAATTAATGAAAACTGTAAAATGTAATACTGAACAAAATAACGGTTTGATATTTCTGTATTGGTACTGAAATTAGTACATTGAGCTATACGTACAGTGGTGTGAAAAAGTGTTGGCCCCCTTCCTGATATCTTATTTTTTTGCATGTTTGTCACACTTTAATGTTTCAGATCATCAAACAAATTTAAATATTACACAAAGATAATGCAAGTAAATACAAAATGCAATTTTTAAAAGATGATTTCATTTATTAAGGGAAAAAAGCTGTCCAAACTTACGTGGCCCTACGTGAAAAAGTAATTGCCCCCTAAATCTAAAAAATGCAAACAGTACAATTTTGTGTTTGTACAATAAACAGGTGTGTGTGCGCGTGTGCGTGTGATCAGGAAGACTTGTATCTGGCTTATTCGGTTCTCGAATATTATACCCATCTAACTTATGCAATACAGTGGAATACTGCAATAGGTTTAGTATACCACCCTAACCTATTAGTCAAACATTATTTTATTTTATTTATTTATTATTTATTTATTATTATACCTCATTGGGGGCTGAGCCCCCCTAAAATGAAAATCGTAGAATCTCCCTTCAAACAAAGTCACAGCAGAACTGTTTTGCATTTGAGTAACACACGACTATGTTTCCTTACTGAATCAATAAGCTGTTTGAACGAACTGGTTGAATGAATGACTCAATGACTCAGTGATTTGCTGCCACCTACTGGCGATTTTATGTTTATATTTAAAGTATATTTGCCACCCCCCCCCCCCCCCCCCCAATATCACTATTGAACATTTTGTTTTTAAAACATCAAAACATTATTTATGCATTTGTAACTGCAGGTTAACTGCATTCATGTCCTGCATTATTACACAGTCTGTGTGAATGCATCTAAATGCATCAGATTCTGTGCAACCTCTGCATTGCAAACAAATTTTGTTGATACTGATTATATTTGTTTGGTAGCCCTATGTCTTACTATTTGAATTGACTGATTAAACCTAAGAATTTGTCACAAAAGAGGATGCATTTAATTGGGTTTGAAAAAACTGCCTAATAAAGGTAAAAATGCACATAAAAGGTAAAAATCAATGTAAACTTATTGGAAAAGTTCATTTATGTTACTCTTGCAAACTAACCTCCTCACAGAATATGAGCACAATAACACTCTCACAATAACATGCCAAAATACCAGCACAATAACACGCTCAACAATATATCATCTAATTATCATTATTTATAAAATTCCAGAAAATATTCAAATATCATTTTGTGTCATTATCGCACACCCCTAATATATATAAGAATACTTGAATACATTTTATTTTTGTAATGTTTGGAAATATACCACGTTTACATCTCTAAAAAAATATTTTTAAAATATGCTTGCAGTATTACTGTTGTTTTAAAGTTAATGTCAGTTAATCCGAGTCATGAATCAGAGTTCAGTTAGTCACAATGCACTTGAGGAAAAGTATTACACTTGGTTGTTTGGGTGTTTTCGTGCATGCAAGCTGCATTCCTTTATATTGAGTTTATAAACCTTCAGATAAATGTTTAAGTTTATATTAAAATTTATGTAAAAAGTCCTTCTCAGAGATAAGAGTAAAACACCTGGGAGTTTTTTTTCCTAATACATTTTCAATAGATTTTTAAAATACAATTTTAACATTTTAGAAATCACTTCAAATGATAACTAAATTAATAACACTACCCTGAAGTACTGTGATTTCAGTGATAAATCAGCAGGAATCAAGCTTCTAAAATGGCTGCATTCTCTGTCACATATTACTCAAAAGGACACAGAAGCCTCTCTACATTCCTTTTCGTTATGGATAGCCAGAAAAACAAAATCTTCCTACAAAGACATTACAAGATTTTTCGACACAGATCTGTTGTCTTAGAAAACACTGAAATATGACACCTGCAGCCAGTAAGACGTGTACTGGGCGTACAAAGATTCAGAGTCTGTTAGACTCTGTTCAGAGGTCCGAGTTTATTTAGTTGATTTAATGCCAGTCATTCATATATTCAGGCTGTGATCTTTGACATCTACACTTTTCATTCATAAAAGGCTATACTGGCACGGTATGCCTGGTTTAACAGAGAAAATAAAAGGGGAAAAGCATGTATTTAAGAGAGGTGCTCTGTCAGTAGGATTCACTGGAAGTCAGTAATGAATGAATCTATTTGTTTTTCCAAGCACTCTACAAGTAAATTTGAGACTGGGTGAAAAGGCTGTGTGTGAGTGTGTAGCTAATTCATGTCATTGACTGAGTTGTAAATGCATGATTTATCCCTTTTTTTTTATCTGACGCATAACAGCCAGCAAGAATTTCATATCTAACCCTGTGTAAGGGTGTGTGTCCTGTCCAAAGTTGATGCATTCCTAGTTAATGAATATAATGGTCTGTTTATAAAGTAGCGGTTTTCCTGCAGCTCATGTTGCACAAACCCAGTATTTTTTCCACCTTGGTTCTCAGTGAGGAGCTCTGCAGGGAACTGAGGCTGAGGCAATAAAGCATATGAGTGTGTGTGAGAGCAAGAGAGATGTGAATTAGCAACATTTTTACAGCTACAACGGTTGTACATTGACCACATTGCATTAATGACCCCCAGTCTGAGACCAATAGCTGTAACACACAGTTATATTAAGTACTTATTTCTTCATCCTTTCTTAAATTTCATAGAATGAAAGTTAATTCTTTACAGCACACTGTGGATTTCCCAAACCAGGAAAAGAGAAGTAAAGTCATTTGCATATGATTGGATTTATATCTGTTTCATCTTTGTGAATACTAAAGACATATTGGAAAAATTGTGTCCTTTGCTTTGATTTCTTCCCCCCACACAAATACCATTCAAAATTTTGGGGTTGGTGAGATGTTTTTGAAAGAAGTATCTTATGTTCACCAAGGCTGCATTTATTTGATACAAAAATACAGTAAAACAGCAGTTTTACATAATTACAGTTTAAAATAGTTACTTTCTATTTTTATATATTTCAAAATGTAATTTCTTCCTGTGATGGGAGCTGAATTCAGAAATCATTCTAATATATTGATTTGGTGCTCAAGATATACAGTTCTTATCAATTTTGAAAACCGTTAATATTTAATATTTTTGTGGAAACCATGCTAATTTTTTTTCAAGATTTTTTGATGAATAGAAAGTTAAAAAGAACAGCATTTATATGAAATAGAAATCCTCTGTAAAATTATGATTCATTCTTGATAAATAAAAGTGTTCATTTCTTCCTTAAAAAAAATCAAGGAAACAGATTCTCGTGAAAGCTTCAGCCTGGAAGCAGTTGCTATTAAATACCAGAACTGAACAGCTTCTAAAACACTGTAAAAAAGGCATTAAAAATTTGCATTGAAATTGTTAGCATTTTTTTATTTTTTTTAAATATATATTTATTCCTTAAAGGTGTACAATAATCATTAATGGAACCACAAAAAAAAAC